CTCTCTCTCTCTCTCTCTCTCTCTCTCTCTCTCTCTCTCTCTCTCTCTCTCTCTCTCTCTCTCTCTCGATTAACACCTCTCCGTTTTCTTGTCGTTGTCTTTCATCACCCTCGTTTCTTCTTCCTTGCATTTATAAATTCTCAATGCCGGGCTAACGTTGGTATTGTTTCAAATGAGAATCACCATTCAAATCATGGTATTAACTTTTAAGCGTAATTTTAGGAAAGCGGGTCAAATGTGCTCTCGGCCCAGTAAGGCAAGAAGAAGTGCAAATCGACACTGCACTAGCATTCACGACCAACAACCAGGCACGGAAGTACATTACATGTCCTTGATGATTGTATGCAGGCCTGTGGATATCTAAACATTTAACATACCCTCCAGCCTTGATCTGAATAGAACACGATGCCCTCCTATTTGCGTCTATGAAAATTCAAAATTGCCTTGTATTATGTTGATCATGAGGAATAATGAACCTGAGGAGAAAACGGCAGTGGTTCGGGAAAAAGGCGTTTGTAAACTTTGTATCCATCCTCTTTTGAGTCGGGTATTCGTGCTTGTGTGGTTGTTTGTGTGGCTTTTTGTTTCGTTTTTTCTTCCTCTTGACTGATTGCTCTCAAACGCCGTGGAACAGGGCGCCAACCAGGGAGGACTTGATTGAGATAGTTCATCAGATGTATAAGAAGGACAATCTCAGCAAGGAGGACGTCGGCAAGTTGATTGACCTCTTCCCTGGGCAAGGTATGGACATTTGAACCCCCCCTCTGCGATTCAAGCTTCTCCACCTACTTTAGGGAAATGTGGCACTGGCTATCGTCCAGTAAGTAAACTTCCCTGACACTCTTTCACTGCAGATGCATGGGCGAACTTCCAAATGTGGTGCCGCTTCTGTTCCTTGCGATCTGCAGAGGGTAAAAAAAAAATAAAAAAATAAAAAAGAATAAAAATAAAAAAAGGCTAATTTGGATCCAGCTTCGTGAAGATACAATGCTAGCCTTGCAGTTCCTGTGAAGTTTTTTCACTCGCAACTATTCAGTGAGGGCATTGCGGTAGATACCGCATGAGTTAATGCGTATGCATTTGTGTGTAACCTGTGGGGAATGCGAGACATACCTTTCTGCATGAGCCTCTGTGTCTTGCCAAGGTCACACCGACAAACCTTACACCTCCCTCCACATGAAAGAGAACGTGTTTGTGTGTGTGTGAGAGAGAGAGAGAGAGCCAGAGAGACAGAGCCACACACACACACAC